ACCCTCCAGGGCTCACAGTTCAGCCGGGAAGCAGGCATCGGCACAAACACCAGAAATGTAGGGCAGGCTCGTGATTTCCATGGAAGTACGCGGAGCAGATGCTGAAGGATCGGAGGCAAGGGCAGCTGACTCTGCCTGAGGTGATGAGAGAAAGGTTCTGGAGGGGGTCTCTTTTGCAAGAGCTTTGAGATTTGAGGGGCATTTAAATGGAAAAACAACAGCCAGAGCAGTCTGGCTGGGGACGCAAGCACCTGTGTATCTGTATATAGGTATATTTGCATTTGTGCCCACATGCACGTTTGCGCGCGCGCACACACACACACACACACACACACACACACACACACACACACACAGTATAGAGCTCTTCTTTTCATTGTTTTCATGTCTTTCCAAGACAAGAACTACCTTTTACTTCCATTGTGACTTTCATCCTAAGTCCAAAGTGAGGCTTAGAATGGCAGTTGACACAGGATATGATCAGACCATTCCATTTAATCCTGACGAACACCGTACTCTAAATCCTGCTGTCTGCATGTCCACAGAAGCACAGGGAAGCACAACACAACTCCCAGGTCTCTGCCTCCCAAAACCTATAAGCAATCAGTTTCTTCGAATTAATGGGTTTATTAAATCTGCTATTATGCTTAGGGAGGCTGGGTGATTTGCAGTCTGTGTTGATGGTATTAATGCTTCCTGGCTTCTTAGTCATCATAGTTAAATAGGTTTAACCACAGGGGAACCCCCAGTGTTTTACATGGCAATTATCTGAAGACATAGGGAAGCTGGCTCCGTGTCAGGAGGCACTCAAACAGATTGCTCTCGGAAAACTTTGGCATTTCAGAAAAGGAGCTCAGTACGTCGGTGCCGTGTCTGTCACATTACGTAGGTAAAGTGAGTGAGTCACAGCTGTAGGGCCGCAGTTCTGGAGATGAGCAACATGCTCGCCCCCTGATGTCGCATTTAAGAGGAGGGAGAAGACGGAGGCGGAATGAAAAAAAGCCACAAATGCATTATAAATAGACTCGCAGCATCTATGGCACACTATTCGGAGAAAGTGGAACAGGCCGGCTGGTTCTCTGTTGGCTCAGCAAAGGTCGTCTTAACTTTCAGCTTCTCATGAGTCCTATGTGTGTCTTACTGTTGCCAGAAGCAAAACCTTGGTGAATGCTTTGACAGAAATGAATTTGCCAACGGATTACATTGCCCCATTTGGCACTCTTGGAGGAAAAGAGTGAGAACTACTGATTCCCTCAGCCATGTCTAAAGGGACTGCGCACCTCGCTCCATGCCCATCTGTTGGGGTGCCCTGCCTGCTTGAAATGCTCCAGAGTGAACTGTGTCTGATCCACCCTCAGCGAGACCCTTTCCTGGCCCTTGACCTTGAGGGGTTCTCTTTTCTCACCATCTTCCTTTTTTTTTTTAAGTCCAAATATCTTTGATTCACTTGATTTCACCACGTAATTGTCCTATGAAAAATTCTGTATGTTCAGGGTGAAAAATTGAGAGTGTGTAGCCAGAAACAGTTGTTCATTGCTGCCCTTATCCCTCCTTTCTCTTTAAAAGATTTCTGCTTTGTATCTTATGCCCACCATTCATGTCAGGTCCCCACTATTGCCCTATAATTTCTCTCTCACTTTCCAAACTATTTATTTATTAGAAAGCTGAATTCTGCAGACTTAAAAGGAAGATAGCTAAGAACCCTGCAGGTCTCCTGGGAGACCCAGTCTAACACCGATGTCGTTCAATCAAGGGTGATTATAGAAAGGGGGTAAACACTGGCCCCAAAGACAACTAGGGGTACAGAGTCTGGCCTGTGCTACCACATCCTCTCTTTCAGGACTGTTTAAGAATGAAAAACGGAGAATATGTTTTAAAAGGTTGTATCTGCTTTCCATTGCTGCCATAACAAATTAACATAAACATGGTGACTTAAACCAACACAAATTTAATATCTTACATTTCTACAGGTCATAAATCTTACACAGGTTTTCCCGACAAAATCACGGTGGCCACAGGCTGTGTGCCCCCTGGAGTGTAGGGGAGAATGCCTCTCTTTGCCCCTCCTGTGGCTAGAGGCCCCTGGCATCCCTTGGCTCCTGCCCCCTCCTCTTTCTTTGAGGTCCGGGCCCCAGGCGGGCCTCTCACGTGCCTCGCTTCAACCCTCAGTGGGTCCCATCTCCTCCTCTCTTACCCCCTGCCTCCCTCTTCCACTCGGGTTCTTTCTGGCCGCACAGGGCCGCCCCATAATCCAGGAAAACCTCTGCATCTCAAGATCCTCGTCACGTCTTCCAAGTCCCCTTTGACCCATAAGGTAACATAGTTGCAGGTTCTGGAAAAGGGAATGTGGACACCTTTGGGGGCCATTATTCTGCCTCCCACAAAGGTATTCAGATGACTTCTTTACCTCTAAATCTTATCTGAATCAACCAAATTCTTAGTAAATCTATAGCATCATCCACTGGTCTGTATACTAATCAATTTTCTTTAAATGAGCTTGTAAAGATGAAAACTATCAACTTCACAATGTAATCCTTCTGTTAAATGAAAGTTCTAAGGAAAATTTCTGGGCCTGTGGAAAAATAACAAAAATTCACAATTCTAAGGGTGGGTCTAATATAGAACAACTGCCCCACACCAACATCCCCCGAGAAAAGAATGTGAATATCTGCTTAATTCACGCAGCCAAGCCAAGAAATGCATGTGCATTAATCCATGCTGAAGTGCGGCTCATTGGCATGGCTCAGCTCTGACCGTGGAGAATGAATTATGTAATTGTTATAAAGCCCTCACCTTTGATTGTGTATGAAAGGAATCTAAGGGAGTCACATGTTTTTTGAAACTTTAGTTACACTAGCTTGATATACATCATTTATCTTCTTGCCTCAGTAGTTTTATGAAATACCTCATATATTTTAAAGCAGCAGTCAGTAAACTGTAGCCCACAGGCCGTATCTGGCTCATATACTAAGAATGGTTTTTACAGTGTTAAGCACATCAAAAAAAGAGTAATAATTTGTTATGCCAAAAAATTACATGGAATACAAACATCAGCGAAGTGTTGCTGGGACACAGCCACATATCTTGTCCTCCAAAGGCACAGTTCAAGAGCTGAGACCTAGTGGCTCGTGAGCCCTAAACTGGTTTTGTCTGGCCCTTTACAGATGAAGTTGGCTGATGAACACAAAACGGACACTTTTGTGGGAATGTATTTGGAAAATGTAGGGGTAAATAGGAGATTTGTTTATGTACATTACTCATGTTGATATGCTAAAATAAAATAACTGAAATATAATTCCACCTAGCTTTTGAGATCAGAGCCACTCAAAAAGAATCTAAGAAAATATTTTTAAAGCAACAGCAAATAAACATGGATTTTAGCTATAAAACATTCAGTAAATGTGAGTGAGCTAGACAGACTGGTTTTTTAATCCAGAATTTACTTTTCTCTTGGCCGTTACCAGTATTAGGCAAAGAGGTAGGGGCCTGTTTCTAATAGAATTTGTACCATACTCTCACCAGGAAAAGAAAGAGGGGGTGGGGAGCCTTCAAACAAAATATTAGAACGATGCAATGTTTCCTGGCATCAGCACCAGCCAGCTCTACACAATCCAAGCAGCAGGCAGACCTGAACACTGTGTTTCCTCTTACAGAAGATTATTTCAAACAGTAGCTTAAACACTGTTGCAATTCGCTACAGTCAAGGTCTATCTTCGAGCAGATTTTGCACATTTTTAAACTGGATTGTTGAATGGAAGATGCTGACACCAGAAAGCTTGACTGTGTCTTTCATTTGCTGCTGCTTTTCCTCCAGGTAGTGGAGTAAGTAAGGAAAAGCTCTGTCTACACAGCCACACCCAGCAATCCCTGTGCAGGGAGTAAGATTAGCCAGGCAGCTGTGGTGCTCACGGGCCAGCCCACGAAGGGCACTGCAAGTTTCAGCTACATGCCAGTACAAGCCAATTGATGAAACCCTCATAGACCATCTACACTGATAAGTGTCATTTTGCAAATAGATTTGGTAACTGAGATACAAAATGATTTACAGTGCATGATGATAGGTAAGTAATATTAAAAATGTGTTGGAAGAATATTTTAAATGCATCTATATCATCTCTTGATGGGTATTTTCAGGTCCAGTTCAGAGACTGGGAAACTGAGGCTCAGAAAAGATGACCCACCTGGTGAGCATCTCAGTCCAGTGATATTCACGCACACTGGCCAGAGCAGGGCATCCCCAGCGCCTCTGACAGGCAGGAGCCGTACCCCCCAGAAATCTTTTACTCCTTAGCAGTCACACAGAGCGTTCTAAGTGGGGAGTAAGTTACTCGCCTTTTTGTTGTTGTTGTTGTTGACAACTAAGCTATATATTGTAAAGTGGACTGGATATTTTAAACAGCTTAGCCAGAGATGGGTTGTGTCTGATTTTTTTAAAGATCTAATTGTGTTTAATGTACTACTTCACTCACACACGATTTTATTCCACTTCCAATCTCTGACATTGTCACCAATCTCATGAACACTTCCTCCTCACCGTGCAGGAAAGGCCCACAGGGTGAATTCTGCAGACGGGCCACTGGAAACACGGCGTGCTAGGGAGCATGATTAGCAGTTATTTGAGTGCACTTCGGGTGAAACAGAGCCCGCCGTATGCTCAGAGACTGAAAGGCAGAATTCTAACACTTGCTGATTTCTTTTCCGTTATAATTCATTATGATTTGGGTCTTAATGAAAAGAGATAACATATCAACAGAACATCTCAGTCAGTTATCCATCACAGATAAGGCAGATTATTTGTGAGACCTTCATTGCATCGAGGATAAATAGAGCCCTCATGTGCAGGCAAAGATGAAATTTCCTGGATCATGTCAAAGTTTACATGCAGCTAATAAATGCCCTCTGTTCTACGCGTCTCAGTAGCCAACGTTAAAAGTGGTTTGATACAGGACATTTGCTCTGTGGGTTTACAGGCAGATTTTTCTCTTCATTCTCTTTTCCAGGCTGACTGGCATGAACCTGCCTTCTCCCGTCATCAGTAGCAAGAACTGGTTACGACTCCATTTCACATCTGACAGTAACCATCGGCGCAAAGGATTCAATGCTCAGTTTCAAGGTAAGAATACTCCATCTTATCAGAAAAGAAAAAAGAATTGTAGAAGATATTTTGGTCCTTTCCACCCACACATTTTAGGATTCTCTTGCTAAAGATGGAAAAAGAGATATAAGCTTGAAAATACCTTCTGTCTATTATATGAACAGGTACCTAGAAATTCTGTTAGATAACTAGCAACTTATTAGTAAATCTCTTTTACTGTGACAGTATGCAATATATTTACTCAGTTTTGCTGTAAAGATTGTTAGGTTTTGATCAATAAGTCTATAAATATATGTTAGCATTTATTTTAATTACTATGCACCTAATCAGTAAATATCCACATCTGTCTGGTCATTTTCCTTATCTGCTCACTAAGAGCAACGTAGCACACAGACTGCATATGAGAAGGCGCGATGCACCATCATACCACTTTTACTCCTCAGATGTGTTCACACTACGTAAACCCTGCCACCTGACTTAGTAATTTATACATAAGTGAACGTTAAAAGAAAAGCACTAGATTTTTGTGGCTGAATAAAATGGAGAGTCACTGGTATGCAGGTTTGATTTTGAAACTTTCTTTTTGTATCTAATTTTCTGTGTTTATAACCTAGAGAGTATTGTATCATTTCCTATATGTTGTAATAATCAATAATCCTTATCAATACCACTGAAAAGAATCATTCTACTAAGAGGGCTATTGAAAATAATTCCACTTGTATTTGCAAATAAAAGTGGCATGACTGTGTCAGAAATCAAGATGCTTCCCCGGGCAGAGTTCCAAGCTTTCCTCATCACCACCATGAGACTGTTACTCCAAGTAAGGCAGCGTTTCCCGAACACTTGCTACATGCAAGCCAGGACCCCACGTGGGGAAGTTGTAACTCCAGGAAAGGCAGAATTCAGAGAGAAATCATGCCAGCTACTTAGGGACATTCTAGTAATGTACCAACAGGGTGATCTGAGGGCCTCCTATCTAAAACACATTTTAAAGCCCCTAAGGCCTTCATCATGTCCTTTTGGACAAGAAGAAAAGCAAGGGCAATTTGCAGGGACTTAAATACAGATGGTGAGCTGTGTGCAGGGCAATGGGCAGGCTGTCCTCACCACCAGGGTCCCTGGAACCTGGGAACCTTCGTGGCTCATGCCTGCCTCCAGATCCAGGGCCAGTTTCATGCCACCAAAAAGTCTTCCATCCACCCCAGGACCACTGCCTATCTCTCAGTTGCTTCTGATGCTGCCAGGAAGTTCTCACTTCCATCCCCTTTGATTGCAAATGCACTGGCCTCAAGCTTTGGAGGGGTCATGCCAACTTGCTCTCTCTTATTCTGGGACCCAGGCAGGGCCACCCTTTCCCTTTCCAGGCCTGCCTTTACTTGCCTTTATCTTTTAAGGCATAAGCTCTAACTGTAGTTATAACAGGGTGTGCATATAACACGTAATTATGTGTATACTTATGCATAATTATATTATAATTATATTTGTAGTGGATAAATAAAGTGTGCAATGGCATACTAGACTACATCTGGAGCCTCGTGGGGGTTCTGGGGCCGGGGGAGGGAAGGTCCGCACAGTCCTAAGGACCTTCTATCAGAGTTTCCTCTCTATTAATCCACCTCAACAGGTGTATCTATCCCTGATTTAAAACACCCATAAATCAACATTTAGAATGCCAACTGACTGATCATATAGGCAGGCAGGTAGATCTGTAGAATTGTTTCTGAACTGTTGATTGATCTTCTCTAAGGGTCTTGGTTAATTTATTGGCATTGAACTGTAGAAAAGTTTCTAGGTATCATTCCTCAAACCTCATTAGTGCATCTGGCATCTATACCAGTGCTCGGGAAAAATGGAAAACACAAAATATTATTTGAAGATGTTCCAAATTGGTAGATATAAGAAACATACTATTTGGCAGAGAATTTTAATAGCTTAGACATATCAGCGTCAATTTTTAAGGTGTGTGTGTGTGTGTGTG